AGGAGGAGGAGAGGGTGAGTCCTAGGCGTTTGAATGTGAGGTAGGAAAATGATGTGGCCGTTCAAGGTGGCCGGCTTGGAGTTCTCTTCGCTCAAACTGTGTAGTTGCACTTAGCTTGAAGTAAGTCATGGAATGTAAGTAGTTTCTCCCCCCTCCCTCCCCCACCCGAGTGTGGTAGGAGGCGGGGAGCGTGGGCGGGGGGAGGCAGTCACGGAAACCCCCTCCCCCACCGCACTAGCTCTTCGTCAGCGCTACCGGCGGGCCTTCGGACAGTAAATAGCCCTCATCTGTTCCTTCACCGGCAGGCTCTTCAGCTCACGCACAGAGAAGCCGGCATTGGCGGCCAGCTGGAAGGTGTCCACTCCATAGAGCTCCAGCAGGGACACGATGTTCAACTTCTCCATGGTGCGGGGGTGAGTTAACGATCGACAAGACGGGTTGCACATTGGAGTCACCATGGCGCGTCCCCTGCATGTGTCGGCGGTGCCAACGCTCTTCGACACCGTATTTTGCCCCTCAGCGTCCGGACCGCTTTCGAGGGAGCACTTATCGATCAGGCGGACGGTAGGTCTCGGAGTCGGTGAGGAGGAGGAGGTACGGATGAAGGGCTTAACTGGTCGAGTTTGCTGCCAGGGGGCGTGGTAGTGGTCGCTGACGTTGCTCTGGTTCCTGTCTCCGAGGCCGTTGAGGTCCCTTGACACTCGTGCATACTGACCTCCGCGCATTTGAGTACCATCTACCTTGGGTTTGTTCAACACAGCCACCAGTTTGGAGAGAAAGAGCATGGAACTGTTGTAGACGAGGCGACTCTCCGACCGGTTACGATTTCTCCTGCGCCAGATGGGTGCCTGAGGATACAGGGGTCTTTGTTGTTGACTGCAGAAATTAAAGGAGGTGAGAAAACCACAGTGAACAAAGTTACGATGGTGTATAACTGCATTAAGTTGTAACTACTTCCTTCTTCGATGCAGGCTAAAAAATGTTACACCCTGGAATAGGCTCAGGCGACGATGGGGTGAAGGACTCCACTTAACTGTCGGTAGACTGTGGACCGTTTGTTACGGACATTTTGGTGATGAGGGGTTTCCAGATGAGGCAGCACGCCAGACAATGAGTTGACCAAATCCAAGAAAACACGCTTTCGTATGGCAGTGGAAATGAAAGCGTTAATTTAAAAAAATACGCGAAAAGCAAATCTCATAAAACGACGGAGTTTGACTGATGGTTTAAGGTAGTGGGAAGTAGTTGTTGTCGGCATTGTAATGTCTGCAACGACCTGCAAATGGATGTCGAGATACAACCCCTTATGACACGATCCATAGTCTATCAACAGTTAAGTGGGTTGTACCTTGGTATCGATCTACGGGCCATTGCAGATATTATGGAAACGGTAGGTTGAAGGACCTCACTTAACTGTCGGTAGACTGTGGACCGTGCCCTACGGGAATGGTGGTGATGAGGATTTTGCGGGTGAAGCGAGTTCCCGTTGTCAACTTGGCTGAGAGTTGCATCTACATGAAGTAAATATGGGAGCCCTTTTATGTAAGAGTAGGTCTGGTTCTCCTTTGCAGTAGAATAAAAGACTTAGTCTATGATCCTTTTGTATTAAACATACTGTTTAATTTTTTGAAGCAAAAAATCAAGGTTAATTTTACTTGATTGGAAGCGTTACTTAATTCACATTTGAGCTTCTTTCAATACTGTTGATGAGAGGTAAAATGGCTGCATTGCACCCAGCTGCGTTCTTGGTTAAAATCCTCGAAATTTCGTTCCAGCCAATGTTTACGGCAGGAAGTCTTTAGCAGCTGCCGTCCCCAACTTCTGCATGCCTCTGACCGACACCTGCGACCGAAAATACAAAGATGTGCATTTAAAACCACTGCGCAGATGCTTCACTGATCGGATCTAGCTGATGAGTCGGCCGCATCCCAGAGTCGAAATTATCACCATCACCACCCCCTTCGTCCTCATCACCCGCTACTCTCGGTGGGAGTAAACGGATGTCGGGCACCAGTCCGGTGCGAGTTAGGACTTTATCTACATCGACCGAGAACAGCCGTTGGCAAGACAGTGATGAAATTTCTGTTCGACTGTCCTGCCCACCCATCAGTTGGACCTCGTCTGTGGGGGGAGGGACATTTGTGCTGTGTGCGTGAGCGCGCATCTCTTGTTGATAAGAAGTAGAAGCGATCACTGAAACAAGGGCTTTATTCTCTTGACGTTTCGGATTCTCACTTGGACCCATCATCAGAAACGGTGGCAGAAAAGGATGACTCGTGCACAGGATGTTGCAGTATGTATAAGATGCAATCGCTATGCTGTGGTAATTAACCACTCTCCCCCTCATCAAGAATTGCTGCCCACTGGTGCACTAATATCTTGACGGCCGGCATGGAAGTTGTTAATTGCTGAAATCTCATCACCCGTGTTGGATGCTGGCGTGATGATTGCTCGGCCATCTGGCTCACCGGCTTGCGCGCTCCCCGAGTGGTCAATTACTTGGGCCAGCCTATGCCTCAGCACGGAATATGGAGTGGGGATGTCGTTGTACTTTTTGGTAGACTGAGGCCCCCTGAACCATGGCTGAAGTAACTCGCGGCTCACGCGACTATCACCTCTGGCAAGATTTTTGGCCTCATCGAACTTGGATGTGTTGCCGGGTCTCGCCGAATGAGCCGCAACCTGAGAGTTGGCGTCATTTCTCCGTACCGCTGCCGCGTGTTCGGAAATTCGCGTCCGGAGCAGTTGTCGAAGGTTATGTGGGCCACAAGACAAGGATTCCCAATCATAAGTCAGGGAAAACGGAGTGAGTTGGACAACCTTTACTGTTTTGGAAGTGCGTACACAGAGGCTCTGTGGGCAGTCGCCGCGACCGCATTCTCCAGGCAAGTTGTTGTCTGTGTCCGGCTTCGAGGTGCTGAGACCCAGCGCGTGTGAGCGCCTTTCGTTGTTTCCGCGTCCGCCAGTCAATCAGAGGTGGGAGCACTCGCGAGGCTACTGACAAGCCTCGCGTGTCCCAACAGCGTATCGACAAGGAGTGTAAGGCGGACAGAAAGGCAGCGTGACAAAGGCGGAGAGCAAGGAGACGAAAATTGCCACACAGTCTCCCAGTTTCGACGACGTAGTTGCTTTGCTCGCAACTGCACCAGATCCGGTAAACGACTCCAGATGTTTCTTGCCGTTTCTGTCACTGTCTCTGGTGAGGAGCTCAAGTGAGAATCTGAAGCGTCAGGCGAATAAAGCCCTTGTTCGAGTGATCGCTTCTACTTCCCATCAGCTAGTTCCCGGATCTCGCATCATCGCTTGTATCGACATCCCTTATTTTCTGACCGCAGGTATCCGAGTGTACAACCCAAAAAAATCGAAAATAATTTTTTGTGGACTGGTCATACTTCCCTCTCCCCCTACGGAAGCTGACTAGACACTCTTCCTGCTCAGCTGGTCAAGTAGCCTTCGTGAGAGACCATCGCAGCGGACAGAGTGATTAGTTTATTAAGCCGCCTCTCAAGGCTCTCTCAGCGACTTTTTGAACGGTATATGAAGTCAAATTTGAAGTCCATGATGGTCTGTTTTTTCGGCATCCGAGGATCCGTTCACGTTGAATTTGTTCTCATGGACCAACGTTAATATCGGCAGGTGCTGACGCGATTTCGCGAGACAGTGAGAAAAAAAACGTGCCTGCCTACGCAGCGTTCAAACAACAATTTCTCACCCCCCCCCTCCTCCCCAACTCGCCCAACTTATTTCCAAGAGTGAAGAGAAACTTTGATGGAAAGCGCTTTCAGAAAGAAGAGGTTATGGAAAAATCCCTGGAGGCACTTATCAGTATTAGTTCAGAAAAATATAAAAAACGGTTCGACCCGTAGAAATCCCATTGGGACAAGTGTGCATCATCTAATGAACAATATTTTCAAGGGAATTACTGTTTTTGAGATGCTATCTCAAATAACAAAATTAAATAAATAAATCTAGTTTGTGGGGTACCCCGTTGTATTTCTTGGGATTATAGCCGGATACGGCAGCAAAAGCCGCTTTCTAACCTGAGGCTAGTGATCTCCAAACTGCCATTCAGCTACAGTTGTGACCCTTGAAGCCCTCTCAAGTCGTCATAAATAACTATCAGCACGCAAACATTGAAGTAGTTAGGGTAGAGCTCGTGGGGGATTATTTCATATTAATTGTAATTTACATCTCCTTTTCATCTGCTAGTTCTCAGACCAACTGGTGGATCTCAAGGATGAGGCCTCCATTTTGGCAATGCCGAAAATTCATCTTAGTGGGCGAACTTTGAGGCCCGACACGTACTGTGGACATGCTGCGGCAACTGATATTAACACCGCCTCGCCTGAAACGAAGCGTGGATATCGGCAGGATCACGGCTGCCTGATGTCCTGACACACAGATCATGCGTTAGCGCAAAGTAAATCTTCATGAATGCTTTCTGTGGCTTGCGTTTTGGGCATTATCACCTTTAGTGGGAAATTCAAGTGCAAGTTCAGTAGATGAGCTACCTCATGAAATGTCAACCGAAATTCCGAAGCGCGTTTTCGTTTCGAAAAGATTAAATAAGTGCGGTTGTAAAACCAATAATCGTGCAGCGTAATTCTATAATAATTCAGTTACCTCAGGATGCCTTCTTTCGAAGAGACTTCTTTCCGGCTGCACGCAAAATCTATACTCAGTAAAAAATGACTGCCTAAGCAGCATGCACTTTTCTCATGGATCTTCGATGTCCCTAAAAGTTCAATTATATTTCATGGGAAACATGCATGGATATATTCATTCTTTTGATCATTCGGTAGATAATTACGTCTTCCTCTACTTTAATACTCGAAGGTGGAACATAATCCAGTTTTAAAAAAAGTTTTCCAATTCCCGAATAATTTTGAACCCACTCTGCCGTCACTCTTGCATTCAGGGTTTCCAAACTGCAAGCCGTATATTTTCCGCGTACGGAAAACCACATATTTCTCTACAGTAATAAAGGGAGATCATATAGGGTTCATAAAATTAAGCAGTGGATTTGATCCATATTGTTAACTTTACAAGCCACATTGGTAAATGCGGAGACATGACGATTTATGAATGGCCATTTCACGGTATTTAATAGTCCCACAATTATAAACTTTTAAAACTGAATTATGTCCCTCCTTCGAGTACAAAACTAGAAGAAGAAGAAGAAGAAGAAGAAGAAATTTCTACCGAATGAGCAAAAGAGTGGATATTTTTTGTGCATTTTTCCATGAAATATAATTGGACTTTTAGGGGCATCGAACATCAATGAGAAAAATTCATGCTACTTGAGCAGTCACTTTTTACAGAGTGTAGTTTTTGAATGCAGCCTAAAGGAATTTCACTTGAAAGCCAGTATCCTGAGATAATTGAAATATTAAAGAATTGTGTTGCAGGTTGACTAGTTTTACACCCCTACTTAATTAATCTTTTCGGGAAGGAAACGCATTTCGGAATTTCGGTTGAGATTTCATGAGTTAGCCTACCTACTGTATCTTTTGCGGACCTTCACATTGGTGCTGCCCTTGAATGAATCCAAACAGTTGTTTTGACCCAACTGTGAAAAACTCGTCGACCTGGGTGGGATTCGAACCCATGATAGCTACGCTCTATCGACCTGGATTACGCGGCCCCTTTGAGTGCTGCGAGTTTAATCAAACGTGGGTCAAGTTACTCGCCCAGCCCGTCGCAGGGCATGGAATTCACCAGTTCTGATACAGTAAGTTGACTGCCCAAGGCAGGATTTCTTAAATAATCAATCTAGACTCCACCTGATGACTATCAGGATCATGTACTTAATAGGTGTTCTGGGAAGGGCTCTTCAATTAGAACGTTTCAATTAGACAAAGCACGTAAGTGACTCCTCCCCGATTTTATCCTCTCCGAACAGCTCGGTGAAATTCAAAACAAAGCGAAAACAACTGGACGGTTTTCTAATCCTCTAAATGGCGGAATTTATGATTTCCACAGTTGGTTCATATCAGATGAAAGCAGTGCTCACTCTGTCTTTATCAAAAAATGGCAGTTTACTTTCACAGACTTTTGGACAAAGACCGACCCTCTAAAACTTCCTTTTTGAATTTCCAGTCAAATGGAATAATTCTATAGTTTCAAACCTGAAAACATCATTGTGCCAATCCTTGTAATGAAAATCATGAGCACTACCAGGGCCGTAAGAAACCATTATTTGGAAAATTGGCATAAATTTTAAGATTTTGCTGAGAAGCCGAACCGGTATAACAAGTCCTGCTCGATTATTGACTCGTCAACGATCCAATAACAGTGTGATCGTACCCTCAATGCAAACGAGTGATGAGTTTGTGCGGTACCACTGGTGTGGATGAACTTATTTCATGAATGACAGTCCGGACATTCAATAAGTAAGATGACTGCTATCTCCCCATGAAATTGACCGCCATTTCGAGAAGTGGAATATTATTCGTCTCAAGTTAATGCGAATTTCGAACCGCCAACACAATAAATGTTAGCCTACCGTTCCAGTTGAGCGTCCCATTCCTGTAGAGTTTCATGCAAGCTCTGCGACTCGATTGTCATCTGGGACCAATGACTGAAATGAGAAAAGTAAGTTGGCGTGAACCGCAAATTAACTTTGCAAAGAACAAATTATAAAGGGAAGGCATAAATACAAGGAAAGCAGGGAAAGCAAGAATATGCAAAATGTACAAAAAACTTGCTTCGTGGTGAGTATTTCGTGATCCGAGCAGGCCGGCGCAAACACTCCTCTAAAAGTAAATCAGGATAAAAAGTCACTACTGAAAACGACGCCGGTAGTTCTTTTATTAAGACGTTTATTTCACAGACACCCATCTTCCTCAACAATTCGAGAGTGGCAGGACCTTACAAACAAAAGGCGCAATCGATCACTAAAAAACTGACATTTTCATATGCAGTAAAGCCGACTGAAGGCCTGTCAGAGGTTGTGGAGTCTGCTTTTAAATGACTGGCAGCCTATTAAAGCTGTTACGAGAATTTTCTGGGACAGGCTTTCAGTGAATCCAAATTAACTTAATTCTCCGCAGAAATTCGGAATTGCCTGATCAAGTCTCAAACTACGAAAAGTAGTCAATACAGAGAAATAGCTGACTGCCATTTCCTGTTGTTTTTCTGTAGTTCTGAGTAATATAATGTGACACAGTTAGGGTCTTAAGTGCTTCTGATTACGATTGTTTATGCCAGCCCGAGGTCTTTAACGCTTCTCACTCACCGGTGGTTTATATAAGTACTCAAGCCTTGCGTTGAATGAACGGTACTGTATGGGGCCGGAGTTCTTACAATAAGATGGACTTACCAAATACAACTGGATATTATTATCCACCCTCTCTTCATGAAATTGTCTTCCTGTAATTGTGGCTTTTTGTCAGGTCCCCTCATAAGCATGCCAAACTGCAGCTTAGCACATCCGCAAACCTATTTAAATTGCCATTCCCTCGTGTTTTTGACGCCGGCAAGGATGCTGTGTGCACTCCACACATGTCTTGCCCATCTAGGTTGCACCCATGTGAGATCTGAATCGCCCATGTCAGTCAGTATATTGGAAGTAAATGACTGAAGCCCTTAAACCTTCCATTTAAACTGCACGGCTATGCATGAAGAGTATTTAAGCGGCAAAAATCTGTACATCTAGTTTTAGTTTGCAAAATTCATAGAACCAGTGATGCAGCACAAGTGTTAAAAAGGTGTGGCATTCGCGGAATAACAACGAAAAAGACGTTCCCTGCATTCGCACTGTGGAATTTTCATCTGGGTTAAGGTTAATTTACACAAAATGATCTGTTGAAACAGTGTCAGTAGTGTATTTATAGTCGTTTTAATAGTCCATTGAATAGGGTTCGAGAAATTCGGGTTGCCTTTTAACAGGTGGTCACCCAGATTCCTATGGATTCGTCGAGATTGGCACTACGGGTAGGAAAGCAAGGGTTAGTGCACAGTTAAGGCTGAAATTATGACACGGAAGTAGGACAGCCTCATCGGATTTGACGCAAGGTCACCTATAGTACAGGGATCCATATTTTTGCGTACAATTCCACATTCGTATGACCCATTGTCTGTGAACTTGGAAGATATTGCCTACATGAGAGAGCTGATTGCGTATATCTCGTTCTTTGATTTGTCTCCTCTCTCTGACAGCATTTTTAAAAAATATCACGGAGTCGGTCGGGCGCAAAAGCGCCCTCGCCTGCATGTCCTCGCCGGATGGTGCAACGAGTCTGCCGTCAAGCCCTGACGCCCCGACCTGCATTTGGATGGGCTTCTCTTGCGCGTTAGTCGCTAAGTACAAGGGACGGCGACTGTTTGATAGACCGCTCATCCACAGCACGAATCCACCATACTGAATGTCATCAGAACTATAAATCAGGACACTGAACGAAGATTCAGTCCGACTAACAGATAGTAATCAAGGGTAAGATGATAATTGGTAGCCGTGCCCACAGACTCCACAATGGTACCTACCGGCTCGATTTCAGTAGCAGTGATTGCGTTCTCATTATGCTTCTAAGTTCACGCGTACGCTGTATTACCTGTGTCAGATTCATTTTAGAGGTGCTATCCTGGGCAGATTTGCACCGGTAACGATGACAATGAGGCTTACCCTTTATCAACTTTCATTAGAAGAGGTAGTTGGCAGTCCTGCCCACAGAATCCGCAATGGTACCTACTGGATTGATTTCAGTAGCTATGATTACGTTCTCATTATGCTTCTAAATTTACGCGCGCGCTGTATTACCTGTACCAGATTCATTGTGGAGGTACTATCCTGGGCGGATTGGCACCGGTAACGATGACAATGAGGCCTTCCCTACATCAACTTTCAGAAGAAGAGGCAGCTTTTGACCGCCCCATTCATTGTAGAGGTACTATCTTGGGCGGATTGGCACCGGTAACGATGACAATGAGGCCTTCCCTACATCAACTTTCAGAAGAAGAGGCAGCTTTTGACCGCCCCATTCATTGTAGAGGTACTATCTTGGGCGGATTGGCACCGGTAACGATGACAATGAGGCTTACCCTTTATCAACTTTCATTAGCAGAGGTAGCTTTCAACTGCCTCATTATTTGCGGATTTTCTCTTCCGCCCAAACCAATTTTTCGCATAAAAGGTCTTACCCTGTTTGCGTTGTGGCGTCCCGCGTGCCGCTGCTTGACTCTCGTGTTCTTCTGTCCATTATGTTGGCTGGAGTTCTATCGCACACACTGCGGAATGACCTTCAGACCAGTTGCCTTCTTCCCATCGGTTGTTCGCCTTCACTTGCTATTCTTTCCAATCTGAGGCTAGGATGCATTTATTCCGCGCACCGTTCAAAGTCTCCTTGCTCATTTCCATACCTTCCTTGTATTTTTCACCTAATCTAAATTAGGCTTCCACTTTACCAGGAGCGTCAATTCCTAGCATACACTACACTCGCCATTTACCCGTCCACTCCATTGTCCCACCCGCATAGCCCTCATTACCACCGGTCCCGATTGACACGCAGCTGGGTGTTTGCGGTGTCAGGAGGGCTACCAAGTATCATCTAACCTAATCAAGTCCTGGACAGAAGTTCGTTTGGTTTGGATCTAGAATAAAACGTAATTTTACTGTCGGATCTCTTTCATGTTGGTTTCTCATCTGTGACATCTCAGCCGCCGAAAGTGACGACGTCCATCCCATGTCCCCCAGAATGGTCTTAGCACCGGTGACTTGCGCAGCATCTACCACACTCTCTCCTCCTGCACCCACCTTGCTCCAATGGCAAGACAGATTCAAGACGACTTATGGTGGACGCGGACGTAATGCCCAACAAAACTAAACTGTCCGTCTGCGCGTGCCACACGCACGATCTGGTCCCCGTCCGATATACAACATTCTTCTGTGTAGGGCGTCCCGAACTTCACATGCGTGAGAGTGCCGAAGAAGTCATTTTGAGGAGAAGTAATTGTGGACCGACTCTTGGTTGTGAGAACAATCACGTTATTTCTTCCCCCCTCAAACCAACAGTCTTCCAATCCACGACTGATACCGTGTCCAGATATACTAAGGCGGGTGAGACTTAGTAAAATAAGGATTGTGGTGATTTACGTGGAGGGTTGATCCCCCAGTGTCTGCCTCTCCCACGCCGCCACTCTCTCACGCTCTATTCAATCTTGGAGGCTGTCAGACAGCTGTTTCTGGTGCACAATAGAAAAAACAGCTCTCGTTTCGGGGACCGACCTGGCTACTGAGAGGCTTTTGGCGACTTCCTGGCCGAGACGCTGGATGTAGGCGAACTTGGTGTAGGACCCACCGGTCAGGAGGAGTGCTCGGTTCATCTGGAGTTGAGCCTCGTCAAACAAGCTTTGTATGATGAAGGTTGGAGCTAAAGGAAAAAAATAAGTTGAACGCCGGAAACATGTGGAGAAAAAGAAACAGGCTGATGAATTTTTCCAGTTCTTGGATGCGATTTTTAATCGTCTCTGATCAACTTGCCACAAGGAAGGATGAGTGTTCCAAAATCCACCTTTAAACAGCGTTCATGGATTTCGCCTGATTTTAAAACGGTATGCGGTGGCTCTGCTTTTGCATAGGATCCATGAATGACAGTTAGCCGTTATAACATCCGCCGATTTTAGCAATCAGCACTCACGTTTGGCCTTCGGTATTCCAAATTATAGTTAGCAGGTCGTGAACTTTTGGTCCAGAAGGCATAATGCTCAGTTCAGCGACCCATTATATCAAGGTTCAAATCTGAGGTCGCCGCAGTCTAGCCCTGTGGTATAGCTGAACAACAGCTGTAAAATTGCCGTAACGGACTACTTTGTTTTTGTTAGTAGCACATTTAGACCCCGCAAAAGCCCATTTTGGTACCTTTACCCCTGCGTAAATTCACGCGTACAGTCATATACCTGTTGGTTTATTCAGTCGCATAAATGTGCAAAAATCGTTAGCAAAGTTCAAGATCTGAGAAGACTAGCAGGTGCTTGAACTCACAGACTGTTGTAGCAGTTTCTCCAGGAGTCTTGCTCAACGTACGTCCTGGTGGAATCAATACAAATGAATGTCGGACGCCCCCAAGGTACTATTTACCTGAAGCACTTGAAACGACTTTAACTAACCCGAAGATGCGGGCAATGGGGCGTCAAAATTTTTTTTTTAATTTTCTGTCGCCTGCATTCGATCTGCAAATGTCCTGAACTGAACCGAAGCACAGCCCACTCACGACTTATACATATCATGCGGAGGCCGGAAGTTCCGGCTATCACAACAAACCGTCAGTTGAAATCAATCTGCAACTTTTTGTGGTTGGTTTGAATGCATTCACCGCATTGAAAATCCCTTACATAGACCTTCTTAGAGACTGATAACCAAACAGCGATTGTGAGACTGGCTAGTGTAATCTGACTGACAAATGGACATGCTAACCATGACTCCCTATTCGGATACTTGTAAACTGTCGCAAAGTAACAGGTAAGGTAAAATGGTCAAATTAAGTACATAAAAATAGCTTAGCCTGATCAAGCTTTGCCTTGAAACAGCAGCTAGATATGCACATACGTTCCCCAATAATGCTTACTGAAGAATGACTTTAATTTCTCACTGAACATTTTGCAACTTACTGAGAATGTGCTGGTGGAGTACCGGACCCAAGTAGCAACGCCAAAACTTAGACTTCCCCTCGGCTTCGCGACACCGTCTAGGTATCCGTGGTTGCCACAGCCTACAAAGTAGCTGGCCGGTCAATCTCAACCTGTCATTTAAAAAACGTATTACTGAAAATAAAACAGTAACCCGTGTTGGGGCACTTACTCTATTCCTCTGTGGATGCCTTCCTCCGGTGAACAGTCATAGATGCTGGTGCAATTCGTCAGATAGGAGGGCTGGCTGTATGTCGGGTAGTTGAGAAACCAGGCAGAATCGACAATTCCGCTGACCTGAACCCTGTGACGTGACCGTTTCCTGAGTTTACGCGCCAGTCTATCCAGATTCATCATAGTGCCGATTCCACCTGCACTGAAATTGGAGATGAAATTTTTCCTCAAAGTTTCATTCGCCTGACTGATTCAGAGAACCGTCAGACTCCCGACGTCTTCCTTTATTCCTACCGTTCGGATGAAATGACATGCATACAAAAATCCTGGTTCAATTTCCCACCTCTTCATGCTTCCTGGAGCTTGATATAACTTTTGGAGTTTGAATTGTTCGCGGTTCAAGTTCATAGGCACACAGGAAATAGCGGAGAACAAAGGACTAAAATCGCAGGAAGCTCTATTAAATTATTACATGGCCCTTATCACCGAGCTTCAGTACATCATGAAGAGCAGAAGTGTGTCTTCCTCGTGGAAAATAGCCCTTTTAAAGGTCTCAACCCTCAAAACACCAAGCCTAGATCTTAACCCTTGCCTTAAGCCTACACCAACCCGTACCTGATTCTCTGAGGTTTACTATAGGCGTTTCTTATTGGCAACGCTCCTGAAAGAATTTATCAGTTGTATGAAGTATAGTATCGTCTTTGGTTTGGCCTCAATGCCATGTCTTTGACAGATTCGTGGGAACTGTTCCTGTCCCATGTTGTGCAGACTTATCCTATTTAAAAGTGATTTTTTTTGTAATAAACTGCCATAATGTCTGAGAACCGTCAGACTCCCAACTTCTTCCTTTATTCCTACCGTTCGGATGAAATGACATGCATACAAAAATCCTGGTTCAATTTCCCACCTCTTCATGCTTCCTGGAGCTTGATCTAACTTTTGAAGTTTGAATTGTTTGCGGTTCAAGTTTCTATGCACACAGGAAATAGCGGAGAACAAAAGACTGAAATTGCAGGATGCTCTGTTAAATTGTTGCCTGGCCTTTATCACCGAGTTTCAGTACATCATGAAGAGCAGAATTGGGTCGTCCTCATGGAAAATAGCCTTTTTAAAGGTTTCAATCCTCCTTCCACAAAATCCAAGCCTAGACTTAACCCTTTCCACAAGCCTACGCCAACCCTTACCTGATTCTCTGAGGTTTATGTAGGCGTTTCTTAGTGGCAACGCTCCTGACAGAATGTACCAGTTGTACGGAGCCCTGAGATCACCTTGCTTCATAAGGTCTGCAGACTGTCCACTGAATGGATACCGTTTATAACTTTCGGCTCTGAACTTAAGCTGGCTGTTTCTACATCAATCGGGTAGTTCTGAATCAGCTCAGATCACACACTAATCTGACTGGATGCCTAGACGACTTTTCAATTCAGGTTTGGTTACTTTAGTGTCCCCCCCCCCTATAGGCAATCAAGTGTTTCACTCAAAGTCACGTACCTGGAACCGGCAATAACCACTTTCTTGGCCTCTGCGAAGTCACGACGCGCCAACAGCTCATCAATCACAGCTGTTATTATCCGAGATCCATGGAAATAGTAACCTAGAATGGACGTCAGCGTCAATTTCTCAAAAACACTTCAACATACCATTTGTAGTCCGACGCTTTTTCCCAGTCCAGAGGTCACTTGAACAGTAGGGGACATACCTAATAGTGACAGATTACGGTCAAATGAAGATGTTACACAGTGTTGAAGAGATGATAGTTGGGATTGATCCGATCGTCCCAGGACAGCATACCGCCCACTAATAAGGGAAGTTTTTGCGTGTAAACTTGATAGACAACTCACTGTATCTGACCATATGCCAGGTTCGGGAGGAGAAAAGGGCCTGATTGGTGAGCTGTCGAGCCAGACAGGTTGCCTCGTCGAAGCAGTACCAACCGCCCTCCAGATAGATCATCCAATTTCTTGAATTGGGGTCCTTCGAATGCCGAAGGTAGTATCTGCGCGAGAAAACGTAAACTGTCAATCAGTCAGGACCAGTGCCGCTTGCCGACGCGATTTCATCTGCGTCGGGCAGACAATAACAAGGGCTCCCAAATAGACAGCCGACTCTTGAGGCTACTTTGCGATGTCGGCGAGGAGGAGGGGGGCGGGGGCGTTGAGTGTCAGAGCTTGCCGCTGACAGGATGACAGGGCTGCCGAAAAGAGCAGCCCAGCGTTGTAGGCATGCGTGAGTTCTGATTGGCTGATTTGCGGCAATAGGGGAGTGCGGTCTTGGCTTTCCTGCCTGACGGTAAACAGTCCTTTTGACAGGTAGCCGGCGTGAGCGGCCAAACGTCGAAACACTCGATTCGGGCGGTGTGATGACAGTTCAACTGAGTTTTCTTTTCACACCCTTTGTCTGGGCGTGAACGCAGATCACCAAATTGAGTGGGCGGAATCGGAATGTCGGAAGTGTCCGACTAGTGACATCTTGTGAAGTCTCTCATAATCGACAAAACTGTTCGAGCTGGCATGACTAATGTATACTTCCTGATCCGAAAGGCAGGACTCCGGAAAGGGAGTCAGCTGTGGCTGGTCGGATTCGCGAGTAACTGGCTGACTCTTGAAATCGAGCCGATGTTTTGCTTCTCCCCACGGATATTTCAGATTCACTTTTCGCTGATGTGGACCAATGACATTTAGGTATTTTTGACTGAAAATACTGTCTGGTTAAAAACAAAACAGCACTCTCTCGCTCCGCTGTATGGATGTCAGTACTCTTTTCTGCCGAGGCAAGATGACACACGACCGTTCGACTGTCGTGGCCGACGATGTCCACCGTCTGTTCCACAGCCGGTTGAGAGCAGGCACGGTTACTTGCGCGTGATTTATTTTATGGTGATAGTAGACTTGCACTTCGTATACTGCACTCTCTCCTCCTCCCCCACTTGGGTCCAATATCAAGAGATATACAAGAAAACCGCAGTTAAGAGAGAGAGAGAGAGAGAGCGCGCCGATGCCTCGCACTACGTAAGCCTGCACCTAGACGTACCATCACACTCTCCGGTCCACAGCAAATATTTGACCAGGAGTTTAACCAACAACAACAATGGGGGCATCAGGGATCCCAATTGACGCTACGGGAGCCTGAAGCGGAGTCTGCCACCCCACCCCGAATGTTGGCAATCGCTATGAGTGAGCATTCCCGATCACGCCTGCCAGAGTCCGATGTAGCCCCCGTGTTGGTCTAGTGCATCTATCGCGTGGCCTGTTTTGGGGACACTTAGTGAATAACCCTCTCAAGTTACTTAATATTATTCCTCGCAACCGACAGGATAACACGCCTGTAGTTTTATGGTAGTTTGTTGAGCTTACCGCTTAGTGCCTGAAGATCTCGGATTCGAATCTGGGTTTATCCAAACCTGAGGTCAGTTGACGATGGCTGATAATCCAGAAAGGGCCACCCCCTGTCTCCTTTTGCCGGTATTCGTTCCGGCACCATTACTGACCGCTAAGTAACCACCAACGGGCTCAAAAGCACAACGGGGCGAGCGTGTTCTAACCTGGTCTGATCGATAAACGACAACTTCACGCTACATATACTCATATGAATCTGTGAGATTGGATGGATTTAGACTTCATTCGGGAGGAAAGGCAGGAACATGAATCAGACCACAGTGCCGTTCTCACATAGGCTTTCTAATGGAGTAAGAAAAAACAGAGCAGAGTGAAAACGATGCTATGCAAGTCCACCGCATAGTAGGCCTGCCAACGCACCTGCCACCGTCCTCATACGAGTTGTCCTCTTGTCGGGGCTTTCACTCGAACTTGCAACTTTAACGGCATTCATTTGTCCCCTCCCACCCCCAGACCACGGCGTCATCATTTCTGCCTCCCTGCTCCTCGCCTAAAACTTTACCAGAACGACTGACGACTAACTACGGAGACATAAAACCCGGAAACCATCTCTCAATCACAATCCCGGTCGGAAAACTTGTTAATTGCCAGGACGGGTTTCCCCTAAAGGGGAGTTTGGTCGAGTGGCTATCTGCCGAGAAGCCGCTCAGCCCAGGATTGCAAAAATTTATAAGAAATACGATTTGTAGAACCGCTAAAGCGGGATGAAGAGAGTTGACCAAAAAGGGATGCGCGATAAGATAGACCGACGTCCATCATTCAACCTTTGCTGTTCTTTCCAACTCAGCCTGCAGGAGATTCATATATGGCAGAACGAATACGTTACAAATGTCTCTAGGGGACTGTGTTTCGGTGCAACCTTTAACCATCAGGATGATAAAGTATGTTTACCACTCGGTGTCAGATGGTTTGGAAAGAATCCGACAAACTGTGAAGTTTTCTGCAGTCTTCGGCGATCGGCACTTTAAGCAATCAACTTATCACTTCTGAATCGCTAAGATTTTTACTGGAGGGCCGAAACGTACAATAGATGTGCTATCGCATAGAATATTAACTGAAATTTTGAAATGCACTTTCCGTTCGAAAAAGTTACTTAAGTAACCATGTAATATTTATTATCTGTCAGCATAAGCCCAAGATAATCCAGTCACGTCCAGATGCCAGCTTTGAAGGAGCTTCCTATTAATCGCCTTCGAAAACCAATTTCCGAAAAAATGGCTACTTAAGTAGTGTGGACTTTTACCATCGATTTTCGGTGCCATTATAAACTCGAGTGCAAGATATACTTTCTTTTACTCATTTGGCAGCAAATTAAGTCTTCTATAAATTTCAAAATTGAAGAACGAGTACATTTTGGTTTTAAAAAGTTTCTACGTCAACAGTACGGTGAAGGACCCCACTCAACTGTCGGTAGACTGTGAACCGTGTCATATGGGATTTTGTCTTGACGTCCACTTGCAGGCCGTTGCAGACACTACACTGCCAACAACAGTTATTTACCATGACCTCAAACCATTATTTAAACTCCGTTTTGTTTTTAAAATTTACTTTATGTTCATTTTTAATTAACGCGCTAATTTCCGTTGCCGTGCGTGAGTGTACGATAAGACTTTCGGTAGAAGCTAGACAATTTCTGTGTTTCCTTGCATTCCATCAGCTTACTGTCTGGGCGCTGCCCCATCCGTAAAATCCTTATTACCGCCATTCCCGTATGACACAATGCACAATCTACCAACAGTTAAATGGGTGCCTTCACTATACCGCTGCCGTTTCTACTTATAAGATTTTTCAAGACCGCGAAGTGGGCAATCGTACAGCATCGCGGCAGCGCATTTGTTAATGCGGTTTGTAAAGTGGTCATCGTGGTATACGTCCATTACGAAAGTTTATGAGCCCTGCAAGTCCTCTTCATAAAAAAACCATAGAAATAGATGATTTTCCTTGCACGAAAAGTATAGAGCTTATAGCTCTGAAACACTGAATGCAAGTCTAACGACAAGTCGGACTTAAAATTATTCGGGAGTTTAGAAGGGTTTCTTACGTTCCGTAAAAACGCCAACTCAAGAAGTATGAATTTCCCTCACTGATTTTCGCCGTCTTTATAAATTCAAGTACGTCTTACAGAAGACCTGCGCAAAATACTCTTTCCTTTGCTCATTTGTCAGGCAGTTACGTCTCCTTCAAATTTTATGACAAAAGAAAGAGTACCTTCAGGTTTTAAAAAAGTTTCCGGCTAGATCGCAGTTGGTAGCCAGGCCCCGTATTAAAGGTGACGGGGGGTTAGTTTACTGGGGCTACTTTGTGGGGCCCCATAATCACATCTGACCCATTTGGCTTCCGTTTTACGTTTGGGGTTAGGATTAGGGTACCGGTTAATGGTGTCCGATTTTCGGGTTAGGGTTATGCCCTTTAGGCTTGGGTTTTCGGATTACGGTTAAGGTTTGAGTTTACGATTAGGTTTGAGTACTACGGTTTGGTTTTACAGTTAGGGCTATGTCTAAGGGCTAATGTTACGTTTACGATTTCGGTAAGGGTTAGGGTTAAGGTTAGGATTAGGGTAGAGGTCGCCGTCCGCTTCCTCGTTCCTGGCTACCAACTGCGATCTAGCCGTTTCCAATTAAATTTTTTTAAGACCGTGACATGCTCTGCCGTTCATCATCATCGCATCAGCACATTTAGTAATGCTGCTTATAAATCGGAGAACGTGGTCTTCGTCCATTACGAGCGTTTATGAGCTCTGTAAGTCCTCTTCATAAAAAACATAGAAATATATGACTTTCCTTGCACGAACAGTAAACAGCTTGTATCTCTGAAACTCGGAATGCAAGTTTAAGGACAGGCGGGTTCATATTTATTCAGAAATTGAGAAAGCGACAACAGTAGGGTGGATGACCCCAATTAGCTGTAGGTATACTGCGGATCGTGTCTTGCGAGACTGGTGGTGTGAGTTTACGGGTGGGGCAGCACACTGGGCATTAAACTGGCGGAAAACACAGAAGACAGTCGGCGGCAAAAACGACAATCTCGAGTAGAAGGATGAATGTATGCAGATACGACATCCGGCTGGATATTTCGTGGCGTTCCATCTTGGGTGGCTGTCCGACCATTGAACAACTCACTATGGCAGACATTTCTGTGATCCCGCAATTCATGTTTAGTCGATCTCTGTTTTTCGTTTTTCCGCTCTTTTGTACAACTGCAAGTCATCGGCACTTAACTAGATTTCGCAAGTTCATACGTCAGCACGCGATCCACAGTCTACCGACAGCTAATTGAGGTCCTTCACCCTATCGCCGCCGAGAAAGCCTTTGAAAACCGAAAGATGCTCTTCCTCAAAGGATGACAATTGAAGAAGACGTAATTTGTTACCAGAGGAGTAAAAAAGAACACTTTTGTGCATGTTTTCCACAAAATACCTTTGAATGTATGGAGGCGTCGAAAATCAATGTGAAAAATTCGTAATACTTGGGTCGTCAGCTTTACGGAATATAATTTGTGTGGGCGGTTAATAAGGAGCTCATTCATAAGCCGACATCTTGATGTGACTGGAATATCCTACGACTATGCAACACGAAAATTTATATTATGACACTACTTAAGTAACCTTTTTGAACCGAGAAAATATTTTAGAATTTCACTCAACTCTTCATGGGACAGACATCGAATCTTATCGCTGCAGTATGCAGCCACCCTGGTACGTGCGTGTGTGTCTAATGACGTTCTCGAAAGTACAGTAGGTGGGCTAACCCATGAGATGTCAACCGAAATTCCGAAATGAGATTTTGCTTAGAAAATATTAATTAAGTAGGGTTGTAAAACTAATCAGTTTGCAGTATAATTCTATAATTATTCAGTTACCTCAGGATGCCGGCCTTCGAAAGAACTTCCTTCCAGATGCATGCAAAAATTATACTCTGTAAACAATGACTACCTAATTAGCATTCATTTTTCTCATTGATTTTCGAAGCCTCTAAAAGTCCAATTATATTTCATGGAAAACATGCATAACAGTATTTTATTCTCCCGCTCATTCGGTAGTACATTACGTCCTCTTTCAATGTTGTACTCGAAGGAAGGGTATTATTCGGTTTTTAAAACTTTCCCAATTCCCGAATAATTTGAACTCCCTCTGCCGTCGCACTTGAATTCAGGGTTTTCAAACTACAAGCCATGCATTTTCTGCGTACGGAAAACCACACATTTCTCTACGACAGTAAGAGGAGACCATATGGGGTTCATCAAATTTAGCATTGGATTTGATCCATGTTGTTAACTTTACAAACTACATTGGTAAATGCAGAGACATGACGTTTTGTGAACGGCTACTTCACGGTATTAAAAAGTCTCACAATTAGAAACTTTTTTAAAACCGGATAATGTCCCTCATTCGAGTAAAAAAGACGGGTAAAAAACACGTAATGTTCTTCAGAATTAGCGAAATAATGGATATTTTTATTCATTTTTTCCATGAAATATAACTGGACATTTAGGGGCATCGAAAACCAAAGAGACAAATGCATGTTACGAAAGTAGTCATTTTTTACAGAGTATAATTTGTGTATGCAGCCGGAAAGACGTTTGTTCGAAAGCCGGCATCCTGAGGTAACTGAATTATTATAGAACTATGTTGCATGCTGATTGGTTTAACAACCCTACTTATTAAATCTTTTCGAAAAGAAAACGCATTTTGGAATTTCAGATGACATTTTTTGTGTTAACCCACCTACTGTAGGCAAAAGAGACTTGAGGAGTATGCAATTGCGAAGTAGACACCGATCACTTACCCAGCCCGAGTTCCGTCATTGCATTTGACATCAGTGTCAGTGAGGTATCGTAGGTAGAAGACCTTATAACTGTGATTGGTCCGTTGGGCCTGTCCAGCCGATCGATACCGCAGAGACTGTTGGTACAACCAGCTGTGCTGGAGGCCTGGCAGTGAGTTGTCGGATGTGGAGTTGTGGTGGCTGGGTTGCAGGCGGAGACCGCGAGCCGTGGAGTAACCGCTGGAAAGAGGGCTGAGGGGGAGCAGGAGGAGTGCGAGAGTCCGATGAAGACTGAGGCAAAGGATTCGCTGAAGAAGGCGCCGACGGTTGCTGCCGGAAAGCGAAAAGGCGGCCAACATGTTCTAGAGGACAGAGAAGGCCACGTGAGCTGTGGTCTCTTTAATGTTAGGGCGACAGTGGTAATGGCTTTTCTTGTTGCTCCGAACCTGTGTGTTTCGCATTCAGACTAGCAAGTTTGTGTCGACGTAGCGATCGGTGAACTTTCTTTTACTCTGTTCGCACTTTTCAACTTACTCAAAGCGATTTTTATCAGACATAAACCTGGCCGTCTGAAGGAAAAAGGTACGTAATTATTTACGATACTGTATTCGTATTCGGTCTCCGTTGTTGGCGAAGAGAATGGACTGAACAGTCCAGATCCGCTGACGCAGATCGTCACGCGTGGACAGGTACAGTTCTGGACATCGTCGAGACCGGTTAGATCGGGCATGATCGCAGCTGTGCCAAGTACAAGTGAGTAAGAACACAGGCACTAACTAAAAGCCTAGACACGCGTGTTTCTCTTGTTCTTCTGCTTGACGCAGCTGCGGAGGGTTCGGCCCATCAGTGGGTACTCCAGGGTTCCCCGTGCGTTTTCTGGAATATGAACTCCAGTTTTCATCTTGCCTTGTTTAGTTTGCCGGGAAATATCGACTTTCGGATGTACTCTGAAAAGGTCTTCTCTGAATGACTTACTTAAAGCTCGCACATTTATTTCCCCGGAATCTACACAGGGTAGAATGAAGACTGGAGTTCATACACCAGAAAACACAAGGGGAAGGCTGGTTGACCCACTGATGAGCCGAAGCCTTCGCAGCTGCGTCAGGCAACGACACAAGCTCGACGAAACGCGCGTGTCTGGGTTTTTAGTTAGTACCTGTGCTATCAGCACGGTAAATAATTACATAATTTTATACTACTGACTGATTATTGGCGACTTATTCCGCAGTAGCTAATGGATTTCAGCTCAAATATTCATAGAAACTTTCAGACCGAGCCTGAAAACGTCTGTCCCGGAGGATTTAAACCAAGTTTGCAGATTAATTTCTTCGGAAATCAACCAAGGCAGGAAAAATATTTTTTGGTGGAAAAAGGCGAAAATGCGGGGATCTGGTTGCTGTTGTCGTTGCTGGAGAAAGACAAATTGGCGATACTCATTTTTCTAATTAATTGGGTCTAAAATGACGCATCTTCGTACGCCCATCAACCCAGAGACGTTTTACCTGCTAAAACCTGACTGACTTAAGGTCGCAAAAATAACGCCTTGTGAATTTTTAACGTCCTATATGGCAAACGAATCTTATTAGTAGAAGGAACAAGTGTCTGGCAATTAATAACCCCTAAATGTCGATTTTTACAAAAAAAACTGTAAGTGGACAACTTATTTCCGTCGAAATTATTATTCAGGATTCATTTTTGAAAACGAAATTACGCGGCCACGACCCTCAAACAAAAAGCTTCGGCATTTCTGCCGTTTACGACTGACTGGCGTTACGCCAGAGACATTATTTTAAAAAAACTTTCTTTAAAGATTATCTTTGTAACACGTGTTCCCAGAAACGAGGGAATGCGTAGTAAGGACTTGAGACATTTAAAGAGCAAAAAACCAACTTAGAATTTTCGTTTATTTGTTAATATACGGTTGCCGCGGAAGAGAATCATTTCCCACCTGGTGCATTACTGATAAATTTGTAGATCCATAATTTGTACTGCACGGAAAAAATCTGCAAAGTTCTATCCTTGCCAACTGCAACCAGATCATTACAGCTTTAAAAAATTCTTTTACGTCTTTCTTAAAAACCTTTCTGAGGCAGAACATATTTTGAGCGATGGCGATACCATTTTGCGTAATTCCTAAAAAGCCACTTCCAACTTTTGGGGTGGCCTAGAAGAGGAAAAAAGTCTAAAACTCAGGGGAAAGGAATTAATACATAAAAGTTGTACCTTCTCTCCTAAACTCACGTTTTAAAAGCAAATAAAAGTCGGCTTCCACTATAAACTCGCTGTTAGCCGGCTGCAGGTCAGTTATTTTAAGCCAAATTAGAAATATAGATGGAACTCGATATGCCTCATAAATAAAATCACAGACGCCTTATGAAAAATAAATTTACCTCTCAAAAGGTGTTCTCGCCTAAGAATTTGTCGGGATTTTTCTTACACCTGACTGTCGGAAATTGTTAGCGTCCGCGAGATGCGCGTCATCTCGTACTAAATAGGTGTATCAGCGCATTCAGTGATGGCTGAAAGACTATAAGAACTCTTTTTAGGTAAAGACTAGCAACCTTTTTTTAATTATAATGACTTAAGCTTGTGAGAGGTATATGCATAGATATGTGTGACGGCCAAGAGCGTGACATGCGGAAACCTTAAGACCGAGCACGACGAAAGATCATCTTGCGTTCCGGCAAACAAGTCCACCTCTGCAATCCATCTCTCACAAAAGTTTACTGCTAAAAAACCGTCTTTATATCGCCATCATAAGGTCACAGGTAGGCTGGGCGAAAGTGTGCAGTTTGAATCATCAAAAATGGAGAGGTTACTCATGTGGTCAAGAGACATTTTCGTTATGTTGTGTCGTTTCGCTTAATTTAGTCTCTTTTACGGAGCTTCTTGAATTCGACCTATTTATCCCTGTTTCACAGAACAGCCTCTAGATTTTCTGCCAAAAATAGTTGATTTAAACAAACGCGAGGGTGTCAGACATTTCTGTCTGATGTCCCGCGACAGGCTCTGCCTGTTGAAAGTCACAGTACTTGCACTCACCTGACGGGATTATGCAATCCAACAGTTTTCTTTAATATCCCCGTTCTTCGTAGACGTTGCAGCCACTAAAATCCGTAAACGTGTGGAAATGCATGCAGTCATATGTGCACATATATGCATATACGTATGTGTATATATATAGTCCTCTACGCATGCGTGCGACGTGCGGGTGTGTGCGTATAGAAGATGTCAGTTCAGATCTGTGCGTGCAGCGCTCTGCTGGATTACCTCATTCACAAAGCAGTCGCCACCGCCGCCGCTGCCGCCGCTGCCACAAAGACGTCCCGCTGTGAGCCCGCAGTATTGCGTCCGCAACGGCAGGTGCGTGTGTGCCTCGACCTGCTTGCGGGCAAAGGCGCCCCTCCGCCGCTGCCGCCGACACCGCTTGACTGACAGCCGCAGCATCAGTCTTCCGCCGACGCTGATTGACTGGCCGACGCGGAGTGGCGATCCAGCTCGCGCTCGCTCGACTGGGGAGATCGCTAGGGAGGAGTGTCACCGTCTGCCGCCAGGCCCCACAGCGCGTTTCCCAATCCCTTCTCGGGAGGCTGGACTTTCAGTGTGTGCGTGCGTGCGTGCGTGCTTCGTGGCCTCCGCCATTCGACGCCGATCGGGGCGCGTGCGTGTGTGTCTAGGCGTGAGAGTGGGTGACTTTGGGACTGTCAATCAAGGCCGGCGGCGGCGGCGGTCGGTTTTCTCCTATTTCTTTTCTTGCCGGGTGTGCGCGCACATCTGGGCCACCAAGTGTCGGTAAACTGTCCGCATGCCGACGTCTTTGAACTGTCGGCAAACCTCCGCCAGCCGATCGACTGGGGGCCGCCGAGAAACCTGTCAGGCCACTCAGCCTTCCCCGCCCGCCCCCAGCAGCACGTGTTTCCACACCCGTCCCAGGCTAGGAGATTTTAATCGCACATACACACACGCACCCACGCACCGCATCGCACGGCACACTGGGTCACCTGGCTTGGATTCGCCCGGCGGGTGGTCCAGGAACCGCTCCCTCTGTCGCGTGGCATAATACTTTGGAGAACTTCCGGTTTGCCGCTGCGTGACTTTCGCCATTGTGTGTATGTGCGTGTGCGCGCTACTGCTGTATGAGAGGTGAAAAAAGAATAAAGATGGAATGTGCCATATGCAACCCGAAGTATGAAGGATCATATCTTACCATATGCACCGCCCGACCAGATCGGGGAGGAGAAGAATCCCTGGCGGGATACGGCGCTGAAACAGGCAAGGCTCGATGGGTGGGGGATTATAGGCAGGGGCAACTAGTGTGTATTTTTCCAAGGAAAAATATGAAACCCACTAGGGTTAGACGGAAGCATAATTATGCAACGCTGGGGCGAAAACTCGCCAGTAACAAATAATAATCTACTTATAACTGCCGAAGGCGAGTGCTGCGGCCGTTGTGCTGATAGATATGAATGCCAACCTTGAACGGTGAAATGTCGAACTTTGGATTTAACTCTGTTCTGGCCACCTGAAATGAGCCTGAAAACGTCGACATTTTTACAACAACGGCCAAAATTCACGAGACAGGTGATATGTCAACCAAATAGGATACTCTGAACAGACAGTTAACTACAGGCCTTCTTTTTGTTGACATAAACAATGAGCCTCATCCAACCCGAGGGCATGCGTCTCTGGAGACGATCGAACCCACGAAATCGCGTCGGGAATTTTAGCTGCTGAGCCACGGGGAGCACAACCACCGACTGATTGAATAATCGAAATCCCGTTTAGCAACTACTGAGACGAGTCAACATTTTTTATGTAAGAAGACTCTTCTGTGAAGCCTTTCTTGGCATATTTCGTATGTGCCGAAGCTAGACTGTGATTTCTGACTATGTCTCAGATACGTGGAATGCTTACTGTCTTCCAATGAGCCAAAACGATCTTTCTATCAGGATAACCCGAAAAAGAACCCAGGTCAATCGCACAGACGTCAAACAAACTGTGGGGATCGACCGAGGAAACAGGTTTCCCAACTGCATTGTCGGCATATATTCGTGATGTCTCAGTGAACTTGGTTTAAAGTAATTGAAACTGGATTTTGTGATCTAGCTCCAACTGTGGACTATCACTTCTCCCGGAGGAATATGTACATGAAATTTCCTAAATACAAATCTTTTGGGCGGGTCATTAAAGTTTTCCGGCCAGAAAGCCCAGGCAGGTATCTCATACATTTTCTGAAACTGCATGACTAAACCACAAATCAATTTTCCGCAACAAATTGTGCCGATCACCCAGGCATATTTAATCAAAAACGAAAATGCCTATGCGGCAGGTTCTTGTCGTCTTCAGAGGTTTGTTTAAAATCTGTTTGTTCTTACAGAAAGAATAAAAAGACCAGTCTATGTCGTCGCTCTGAGAAAAAATTCGCTTTCGTAAACAATCGCTTTTCAAAAGATTGGCCACATGATTTTGCAACGTTGTATTGGTAACAGCCGAATACTACGGCTTCCCTGTCTCTGATTGGTTAAAACCAGGCCGGGTGCTCGAACTTTGTCCGAATATTTTAGGAACTGCAGGACGTCCTGCCAAAGCCAGATAAATGGGTTGAGGAAGTGCCCTTGGAAATTCTCTGTGTTCCGTAAATTGAAATTCACTGTAAAATCTGTGATCACAAAGCATATTTTTGGAAAAATGTGATTGAGAAAACTTTCCGAAATTGCAGAAAATTCATTCTTGACTGCACATCACAGCATCTGAGAGAGTAGAGATTTGGCTTATGAAGTAAAAGCAGTGCGTTACTATCCGAGGAACACAACGTGATGACTGTCTGTCATTTCAAAAAGTGGCCAGTCCTGATTGGTGGAAATTTTAACGGCTTTGGGCATTTCGGGGGATATTTGGCAAACTTCTTCCTGTGTATTGCAACTCGAACCCGAACCTAAGCGCTCGCACGTTGCCCAGAGGGACGCTGGATGTTCGGTCTTTCAGCATCTCCAAACGGCAACCCATTCTCTCATTGTCAGAATCCGCCAGAAGTATGTCGGATATTACCCATGTAGTTCGGCTTCGAAACGACGCATGCCCGCCTCTTTAGCGTCTGACGATGGGTAGACCAGCCAACTTCACGAATTCCAATTTCATTGGTCGTAACGGTCGAACGCAAAAATCTTCTAGCCGTAAATTTGAGAAAAAAACCTTTCTGCTCACTAGGGCTGTGGCTTGCCATAACAGCGAGCCTAGTCATTCGCTCTCACAGTTCAGTAGGGGTCCCCCATTGAGAGCTCTGACCCCCCCCGGGACCATCAGCCCTGCTTACACGAGTTTTCGCTGAGACCCTGTCGTCGTCAATTTTGACAGTGCTCGTCACCCTGCTAAGATGACGGTCAAACTGGCCCATGACGTGTTAATTGAGTCGCACAAAGCCAGAGTGGGCTGCGGCAGCACGCCTAGGCGCAGTCCCTAGACAGCGCCATTCACTACACCCAATCACACAAAAAGCTGGTTGAGAGCCTCAGACAGTCCGGTTGGTGCACAGGAGCGAGGGAAGAGAGAGTGAAGTCGATAATGGAAGATTCAGTCCTCATTATAGAAAATATAACGCGATCGAATATGTCACGAGGAGCTAAGAGCCTTGGTTTGGAAAGCCGCCAATTGTCGAAATAACTCAGCCCTCTTCAGGACCGGAGGTCAGGCCAAAATAGTCCCCTCTCGTAGCGATTTTTATGGAACTTTCACACATCTCAGATCCAAGTCGCCTTCATGAAAGCCAGATATCATGTGGGGGGCCATATCGTATGCGTGGTCCGCGTAGACAAACCGTTCAATTTTTTCGGCCATTACACTTGAGCTTGTTTACGGTCACATTGACACTGTCTCCTTGTCGGCGTGAAGTGGGCAAGCAAAGAGATGATGCGGAGAATATTACGCATGTCTGCTTCTGGACAAACTGTTCCATACGTAACTCACGGGTGCCACGCCCATTTTGTGAGGCAAGCATTGAACGTCGTTGTTTTCGACGGTCGAACCAGCAATGAGCGCTCCTGGTTCCAATGTCCTTATCCGTTATATTAATATGTTTTCCATTTACTCTCACGATACTAGAGATCCGGACTCCCAATCATTTAAAAATAACAGCAATGGCTTGGCAGCACAAAATTACTAGGAAACATATATCGGTGAAAAGTCAATTTGACAAACACGTGTTTTCGGTAACTCTTCATCATGGCAATTAATTGTCGCTGACTCACTTATAAGCCACGTAACTTCTCATAACTTAAACTTCTAGGTAACCGTTTTGGCCTGATGAAGAGTTACCGAAAACACGTGTTTGCCAAATTGACTTTTCAATTGTAACATGGGAATATTCGCTGAACTTAGATATATCGGTGAATTGGCATATAAATTTCAAATGTTCTTTGACGGTGGAAGGGCTTAGTTGTGACTGGCGAAGATCTTCGTCCTCGAATGCAGAAGCCTTGATTGAGTACTATTTTATGAACTGTAATTAGATGGAAATTCGACAGTTTTCATCGAAAAGATACTTAAAAGCCGACCTGTTAACATTAATGAATCGGCTGCGGCTTTGGTTGAGAAGTCATCAGCACGAGTTAAAATAATCGAAGCTTTTCGCACTCGGAGAAACAAACAGTTAGTTCTTTGTAACGCAGGCACAATAAACTAGACTCAGTAAAAAAGTGATTGTTATTTTTCCCTTTTTAATTTTGTCTCTAATTCTTATATTGGTTGAACATGAGAATATGGGCCCCCGCACTACGAACGGCGTTGCGCTAAATTCCAGTGGAGCTACCTATTTCCGTATCCTAATTTTTATCCCAAATCTCATAGCCCTAGTTGCCTGAAATTTGACCCACGTTCCCATGTCCTACCCATCTAATTGAAACTAAAAAAGCTTTTATTGAAAAACTCGAATCCTTTTACATTATGGAAAGAAGCAATTTATTTTTCAGAATATGGATGCTCCAGCATGGAATCCTACCGTGGAAATAACTAGTAAATCCCCTTTATTTCGTGTTATTTTTTGCCGTTACTCTGCAGACGTCGTCCCCTCCGCCCGCTACAAGAGACAAGCGGAAACAATTTCGTCGAGCTAGGTTCCGAGGCAGTGGGGTCGAAAGTAGTAATAGTAGTAGTAGTAGTAGTAGTAGTAGTAGTAGTAGTAATAGTAGTAGTAGTAGTAGTAGTAATAGTAGTAGTAGTAGTAGTAGTAGTGAGTCAATCCTCAACCAGACAGTGGTGACAGACGAAACGGATAAACTTATTCGACACCAATTGTCATCCGTCCTCATGGCTCATAGGCCGCGCAGTTTGATTTCCAAGGTTGAACTTGACGCACTTGTGGAACTCGGGGCCGACAACGACCTCGTTATTGTGCCTGCGGGCAAGGGGCGCTCCACGTCGTATTGGAGCCAAAAGATTGTTGGGGGATCGTC